GTAAGGTGTAATAAAAGTGTAGAGTGTAAATGAAAGGTGTGGATGATGAATGCTACACATATATCATAATGACATTTATAATTATAGAAAAATTATACATTTCATGGTCTGTGATATATTAAAAATTGATTAAACCTTATTAATGTATTTTTCTTAATAAATTTTTATTTTTATTTATGTATTTACAAAGAAAGATTATACATCATCAATATTATTGAGCAATTACTCATATATTTTTTAAAAATTTCAAGAAATATAAGTAGATTTATATTTATGAAAATAAATATATGCTATAGGATAGAATAATAAATTATTTTCATTGCAACATTGAAGATTATCGATGAACAGGTGTAATCTCTTCTCCATCTTGTATAACATCACTCTTCTCCTGTAATCATATTATTTTTTTATGTAATAAATCATGTATCTCAAGAATTAAAACAAAATTAGAATTTGTAATTTATCAGTAATGGTTGAATAATCACTGTCGTTCAGAAACACGGACCCATTAGTATCATCATGATTAAGAATATAGTGTAATTACAAAAAATAAAAAGTTATATCAACATTATAAATTATATAGTATAATTCTTCACATCTACAAACCTGTAGATTTATAATCCTTTTATTCCTTTGTGAATTAGGAATCTGTAGCAGATTCGACAAAGAACATTTATTTTCAACCAAGCTTGTTCAAAGTCATAAAAAGTTTCATGTAGCTGTAAATCCAAGGAATTGGTTGCCGATTTGAATATTCATTTTCCTGATGTTTATTAAGCCAGCACCAGGGATGTTGTAGAGTGTTCTACAAATGATAACCTATAAAAAAACAAAGAATATACATTTCAATAATTTTACTTAATATATTATTTAAATTGTGGATAGCTTCATTTATACATCAGAATAATTAGTTAAAATCACTTTAAATCAGTAACACAGACCAATAGAATTTATTCATCATTCAAACAAGATTTTTGTGTATGTACTTGTATAAGAGACATTAGAGGAATTTGACAATAAAGTTTATATATTAATTTAAATATAATATTTAGGAGTTTGTATATTAATTTAAATTGGGAATAGCGATTGAGTATTTATCAGCTTTTTGTATACATGTAGTATCTTACTCAAGACTTTTTAATGGACATAATTTGTCATATTAGAATACAATTTTGAAAATAGCAAAGAAATCGTACCATTGTCTTGTTTTTTTCTCATTTTATACCGTAATAAGAGATCGCTTTTTATTGACCACAAAGAAATGTAGGGAGTCTATATGTTTTCATATATTTATAAGAATTTTATAATTTGATTCAAATAAATTCTGTCCATCGTTCTAAATATTAAAATAATAAAATTAAAACAGATATTTAAAAAAATGAGCAATTATATAAACTTAAAATAGTGTACGATACACTTAAAAATGAAACACGTGGTCGGCGATTAATTAATTTTCGCAAGGAGTAAACAATCGCAAATAAATCGAAAGCAATGTAATAAAATCGCGTATTTTACGTAGATATAAAATAATAAACGTAGAAGCAAAAATTTCTTACCATCTTGAGTGTATCCTTTTTTTTCACGAAAGAGGAATCGATCGACATGCTTCAATGTTGAATGTCGATGAAGAAATGGGACATGGGACGCCAAGCCAAGCCAACACGGAAACGGAAGTGAGAAAAATCCCCTCTACTAATCGAACCCAACTAACCATAGTACGTTCAAAAATCTTACGTGAGGTAGTTGTCCAATCAGAAGCAAAGAATTACTCGTTTTTATTGGTCAATTAAATTCTATTTTATCTACGTGTAAGGTTTTCGAACAATACATGTGTAAACCATAAATATATTAAATATATAATTAATATGATTAAAATTATATAAAATTTAATGTATATCTATTATTTATGGCGTAAACGCGCCTAATCGAACACCAGCAGACATTCTTCATGCTATTGTTAAAATTCTTTTATATTACTACATTATTTTCTATTTTATAAGCTATATATTAAATCTTTTTTTTTTAGATTATTTAATTACTCAAAATGCAAATGTTATGCGTTTATATATATATATATATATATATATGTGTGTGTGTGTGTGTGTACTTGAATACTGTAATTAAATTGCTTGAAGTATTTACTTATCATGTTAATACCTAATTCAATAATTTTATATTTGTTAGAATACTGTTATATGATGGATTTGTTAAAGAATTATATAGTTTATTTACTATAATTAATTACTATATTTTTGTCACACAACTTTGTTGGAGTGATATCTAATATAATAAAGTAATCTTAATATAGCTGAAGGTGTCACACCTGAGATTTTATTTGCTGCAGCAATCTGCAAGATAAATTTTGCTAATATAGATGATATGGAATTATTAAACAGATGCAAATAACTATTAAAAAAATAATGAGATTATATGGGAAGATATTTGTATTTTTTAAATAACAATATAATAATTTTAAACAGTCGAATTTACAAAAGAGATAGCAATAATAAAAAACTTACCGTGTTTGGAAGATATTTTGTGAGTTTCTCTCGATCTTCAGTGGATAAGTTTAATTGAGGACTGTAACAAAAATAAAGCAAACAATTAGTAATTTTGTTGATATACAGTTTTGAGGCATAAAATATAAGGAATTGTTATTTTTATTTATTTTATCAAACAGCAACTTAATAAATATTTGGACAATAAAATAAGTGGTTCAGATGCGCATATATATTTTACCTATTATAATCAATATCATCAGGTATAGTCATTTGCTCGTTTCTTCTCATATCTTCCACTTCATCTTGCTGATTCTCAACGACATGAGCATATTTTGCCTCGATCTAAAAGTCGAGTCACATTAATATTTATCGATGAAAATATCTCTTTACTTAACTTCTAATTAAAAATTCTAAAACTTTAACTTTATTTTAATTAGCAGTTGTTTATAACTTTTTCCTAAAATATAATGTTTATTATCGCAATTTAATATAAATTTACAAACCTCTATTCTTCTCGCAAGAGCGGGATCTCCATCCAAGTGACCTAACAAATTCGGTAACTGGATTACTAAATCCTTAAACGTGACTCTTTCGTCGTCTGTCTTGGAAAGTATCCTAAAGGCCGATTTATATTCAACACATTTAGTGCTCTTCATGTTGAACAACTGTCGCCACTTATTGCTCGATCGCACTTCGCTTTTAAGTATCTGTATAGCTTCTTCCAATTTGCAAAGAGTCTCTCTCGTCTTGTCGATCCTTTCGCGGGATACGCAACCCACTGCATAGCCCTTCTCTGTCAATCTCTGATCGGCGTTATCAGGACGCAGACTCAGTCGAAACTCCGACCTGCTGGTGAACATTCTGTATGGCTCCGTAGTACCCTCCGTTGTTAGATCATCGATTAGAACACCAATATAACCCTCGGTTCGGCTTATCAGAAGTGGTAATTTCTTAAACACCTGGATACATTTATGGACAAGATTTTTTTAGAACATATTGACAAATATATATCTATTATATAGAGCTTTTCAATCGACATCATGAAGTAATGAAATAAAACATGAGAATCTTTTATATAAAAAATTGTAAATTATATACGTCTCTCTCACAATAAGTTTAAGTTTTTTTTAATTTATAACAATTGAAAAATATGATATTATAAACTAAATTTTTTTCTACATGGAAAACATTAGCTTTCTGATTAATATGCCAATCACCTTAGCGGCTGCATTAACACCCGCGACGATACCTTGTGCAGCAGCTTCTTCATAGCCAGTGGTGCCATTTATTTGTCCAGCGAGGAATAATCCTGGAATCTTTTTCGTTTCCAACTGGGAGGTCAATTCTCTAGGATCTATATAGTCGTACTCGACTCCATAACCAGGTTTCACTGTAAGCATAAATGTACATACATTATGTAAGCTTAATTTTGGTTGTAAATACATATAATAATTATTTAAAATATTGTAAAACTTAATTAATAAATAGACAAATTAAACAATCACTTTGCATCTTTTCCAAAACTTTTTATCAAAAAAAATTATAAAAATAAGATTCATACATCGATTGTATGTAATGAATTCTGCATAATCTTCAAACAATTTAATATTTAAAATAAATTAAGATTAAAAAAATTATAATATAAAAATATACCTAGACGAGCGTTTTCCAATCCTGGAATACACTTAACAAGTTCCACTTGTTTTTCTTCTGGTAAGGTACAGGACAATCCACTGGGATAAATTAATGGTGAATCCAGACCTTCCGGCTCCAGCCAAATTTGATGCCTAGGTGTTTGGAATCGCAGAATCTTACTTTCTATGCTCGGGCAATATCGCGGACCTGTGATCTCCTCCGTGACGTGTAAATTACAGTGCATATTGTCCTTTATAATCTTCGCGACACCCTCATTCGTATATGTCAGATGTGTTAATGCTTGTTCCTCTGGCAGTAGCCACACATTATCATTCATAAAGGAGAATGGTATCGGGGAATCATCCGGCAAGCATTTCGTACACTTGGTGAAGTCAATGCTATCTTTTCCAATCTTGGCGGTGTGCCTAAAAATATGTATAATCTAATTAATATACTATTATAATCAAAAGTTGTAATGTTATAACTTTAATATATGAATATATAAATTTATATATATATATATATATATATATATATACACACAACTTGGAATGCAAAATAAGAAATGTCTTTCGAATTTTGTTATGTAAATTAGTAGAAAGAGAGTGTGTGTGTATATATAGAACACAACTCTTACCAGTTTTCAATCTTCCTATCTTAAATCCAAGTCTATCAAGTGTGTTTGCCAGACCAATACTGGGTTCATCATTCAATCTACCTGCAGGTCTCTTCTCCAATCCGATATTTATTTGGCCCTTAAAAAAGTTCCTGTGGTTATAATTATTGCATCACCAAATATTTTTGTTCCATCTCCTATAAAAGAATATTTTTGAATAATTAAAAATATTACTAATATTTTTGAATTTATATAGAATAGTATAATACTTTTATGGAAATAGATTAGTATATATAATACATATAGTATATATCAACTCAATGTTAAATACAAAAATCAAGTTATTTTAATTGAGTTAAGTCAAATTTCTTTTATTCTTATATATTATATCTATCTTTCTATTCTATTATAAAGTTTGAAACGTACTGAGAATTACTCCACAGCAAGACAAAGGATTCGCTAAAATTAAATCTTCCACAGAAGATTCGTAGATGTGTAAACCAGGCATATTGAAAAGTTCTGCTTGAAGATGTTTTTTGTATAATGTTCTGTCGATTTGAGCTCTGAGACCCCAAACCGCCGGTCCTTTGCACTTGTTGAGAACTTTGTAATGTATTCCTGAAATATCACATATTCGACAACATATTCCATCTAAAGCATCCACTTCTCTCATCAGATGACCTTTTCCGATTCCACCAAAAGACGGGTTACACGACATTTCCCCTGTATAAATATAATCAAATGCATATATGTATAAGTAATGTACTTGAAAGTAAAAAGTCCAAAGACAAGAAAAAGTTAACAATTAAAAATATATTCTTAATTATTCTTTAATTATTTTAATATTAATATACAATATTTTTCTGTCTTATAATTTTAAGTATAGAAAATTTAAACTACAAATTGTTTCTATGTACAATTTGTAGTTTAAATTCTCTATACTTAAAATTATAAAACACAAAAAATATTGTATATTAATATTAAAATAATTAAAGAATAATTAAGAATATATTTTTAATTGTTAACTTTTTCTTGTCTTTGGACTTTTTACTTTTTACAAATATGTAATGTCATATTTGTTTTTAAACTTATAGTGTTCAAGTTACATAAATTTTTCAATATATTATATTTCCATATGCAATATTTATGCTTCTACAATTTAGCAAAACATTTTGTGAGTAAACTAAACCATTACTTTTATGAAAAAATTATTTCTTTCACTATGCAATGTATGAATATCAATTTTAAAAATTAATAACTACTGCCGAATAGTTTTAAGCATACATACCTATAGTACTCTTTTTCTGAGTAACTAACAATGTCTTAGCACCCATTCTGACAGCAGCTGCAGATGCTTCAGTTCCAGCATGACCACCGCCAACTACTATTACATCAAATTTCTTCTCGCTATCGTTTGTGATTAGTCTTCTTAATAATTGTAATCGTTTTTGTTTGGAATATGTGTTGAATAAAGATGTTTTAATTTTTGTAGAAATCATTTTATCCAATTATTATGCTCCTCCTGTATTCTAATTTCTGCAAAAATAATTTAGTTTCTTTAAATTTCAAAAATTAAAGCCAATAAAATGAAAAATATCAGAATATATATTATTATATTTGTGTAACCCTCTGTTGTGATTCATTTTAGATGTTTTCTATGATGAGATGCAAGAAGAATTATATGTATAAATTTATTATTGTATAAATGTTTATACAATTATATCTGAAATCTACCATTTTTAAATAAAAATATGTATACGTTAATAAAATATTATCAATATACATAAAATCACTTAAATCTCTGTATATGATTTGAAATAACTTTATTACAATTACCTCATATAACTTTTACTGTATATTAACATTATTAAATCTATATTTTAAATATGTAGCATATCATTTTATCATCTGTTTTAGAATAATACTATTCATTAATATTTTATCGTTTACAATAGAAATTACAAGTTATTTCAAATCAAGATAAAGTTAACTAATTTACACTGTATAATATTGAGATATATTTTCACTAAAAATTATGTTGCCTTTGGAGTATTTAATTTTACCATGATATATAAAACAGCTTATTTCAATAATATCTGCAACAGAGGGTTAACAAGAACACAGATGTATAAAATAAACATTTATTTCGTGCAATAATTACAAACAGCAGTTTGTCGAGAAATAATAAAAGAATGAGATATATCGCATATCAAGAAAGATGATCCGACAACAAATATTCCTGATGCTTCAGGATTCTGTATAACAAACTGTATCTAATAGCCTTTTGGATTTTCGATAGTATCAATCGCTCGCATAGATCTTCCTTGCTTTCAAACTTGAGATTCGCGTATCCCAGATTATTGAGGAATTCCAGAACGAAGTTGAAACAATTCAGACTGATATCGTCGTAGTTGACAGACTTCCATCTGTCATCTTTCGATATAAATGCCAGCGTTTCATCCCATCGAACCGTCCAGGCAACCGGTATCACCTGGAAGACGACGCAAACGGCCCACCTGTGGACGTCGTTCGTTATCAGGCCGGCTTTATCGAATTCGACGACGCGCCCGCCCGAATCGACTACCCCGACGTGCAAGTCGTCGCGCGTGACGTCGTAATCGTCCAGGAAGCCGCCGCGCGAAGGTCGAATCGCAATGCTAGTCGGATTATGAGCTGCGTTCGCGAAAGGATACGGGACGCGAAACGGGTCCACAATGAAATCTTGTATCGGCGACGAGCAAACCGGACACGTCGCCGGCACGCGTCTGCAAAATACATTCTTCCTCGAACAATGACGGAAGCACACGACACCCGAATCGTCGTTCATCCTGAGAATGATATAAAAATGTTGATGTTAACTCTGACTTGTTTTAGTCCTGTTAACGTGTCATTTTCCTGCTTCGTGATAATATCCGTGCTATTTTTTTTCTATGCAACTCTACGTAGAATATTTTTGTATTGTGTTAAAATATGACATTTGAAAGTCTAATCTGATTGATGATGAGATGATGTTCTCGCACAGGCTAAATACATCCATGTACTTGTTTCGACTACAATTCGGAAATATATTTGCGTTAACTACCTCGTTTTATCGAAACAATCGGGTCAATGAATACACATGTCACTTAACCTCATTTAACCTCATTTTGGGTTAATCACGCTACATATACTTACATGACGCGTATATGCGATTTATTCTCGTATCTTGTTGTGGATTACAATCATATGCGATGTTACACGTGTAACAAGTTAGCAGTTACTTTTCATTTGCCAAAAGTTTGACAAATTGCATTGACAGTACGCTCATATGGTACGCGCACTGCGCACATATGATCGCGCATAACGTCACGATCGATATATCGATATGTATTTCGATTCGACTATCTCGACCATTTAATTTCGAAATGCTTGTTTGTTTCACCACAGATTAATAGACAGATCGCCAAAGGCCTGCCTAAAGAAGAGACCGCCATCTTCGTGCGATAGACTTTGCCCCTTACCGACACACTTGCCCCTGGTTCGAGTCCGTGCTAAATTTCGTAGACTTGAACCAAAAGACTTTGCCCCTGGTTCGAGTCCGTGCTAAATTTCGTAGACTCGACCAAAAGACTTTGCCCCTGGTGCAAGTCCAGGCTAAATTCGTTTGACATTACCAACAGACTTTGCCCCTGGTGCGAATCCAGGCTAATTGATCATGACACAGATTAATAGACAGATCGCCAAAGGTCTGGATGAAGGAGAGACCAGCATTTCTCACTGATTTCAGCGCCATATCGTAGTAGTAGTCAATGCAGTAACTATTAATACGTTCCCAAGATAAGAGCGTCTCATGCTCATGAACTCGTCCGGCGGCATGTACGAGATTTATCTTTTCGTAGCGTTCGTATTTCGGAAAGGACAGAATTTTATGATGTTATAAATAAATAAATAAATAAAATATTAACCTGACCTATTATAATTATTTTTTAATAAATGTTTCATTATTATTATCATCTAAGTCTAAGTCGTTTAATTAATTTTTAGTTTTTTAATAATTAATTTAATTTATTCTAATCATTTTAATATGTGAAAAATACTAATACGTATACGTTTTATAATGAATTAATATATTTCGAGAGTCGAATTATATATTTTTAATAATATAAAAGTGTTCAAAATTATATTTGACTTTTAATTTTAATTATTTTAGCAAAGAGTTCCGAAATCTCTTACACACATAATAGAGATTTTGTTCATCCATATAATTCGCAATTAAGTATATATGTTAATTATTAATTTTAATAAAATACAAAATTAAAATTAAAGGTCAAATATAATTTTTGAACATAAATATATTTATAAGTATAGACGGGCAACAAGAGCCAAATCGCGGATGACAATGCGTTATCCTAACGGAACTAAATAATTTTTCGTTAGAATTAAATACCGGTGCACAAGGCACCAAATTTTTACTTGGACACGGCCAAGATTTTAAATATGAAATAATCTCATATTTTGAGATTTAATTTCAATACCCCTTAACCCCCTACGGAAAATAAATAAATGAATGCAAGAGAAAAATATAGATCCGAAATTCGTTGAATCGGGAATCGAACCCGAGAGCGAAAGGTCTCTTGACCTTTCGCTCTCGGGTTCGATTCCCGATTCAACGAATTTCGGATCTATATTTTTCTTTGCATTCATTTATTTATTTTCCGTAGGGGGTTAAAGGGGTATTGAAATTAAATTTCAAAATATGAGATTATTTCATATTTAAAATCTTGGCCGTGTCCAAGTAAAAATTTGGTGCCTTGTGCACCGGTATTTAATTCTAACGAAAAATTATTTAGTCCGTTAGGATAACGCATTGTCATCCGCGATTTGGCTCTTGTTGCCCGTCTTATACGTTAAATTTATATTTATATTACAGAGCCTTGTTAAAAGTCTTATAAATATATTTAATTCGTTATAAAACGTATACCCGTGATAGTATTTTTCTCGTACAAAAATAACTAGAACAAATTAAATTACTCATAAAAAAATTAAAAAATAATTAAATAATTTATATTATATATGATAATAATAAAACATTTTATAAAAAAAACAGATTCAATAAATATAAGTATATATATAACATGTACTTATATTTATTGAATCTGTTTTTTAATAAAATGTTTTATAAGCTTAGAAAACTTGACTTTGACGTAACTAGCAAATTTTATTTAATTATTTCACGACGGTTTGACGTAATAAAATGTTTTATTATTATTATATAAAATATAAGTTTAAATTCTTTAATTAATTTTTAATCTTTTATGATTAATTTAATTTACTCTAATTATTTTTGTACGAGAAAAATACTATCATGGGTATACGTTTTATAATTAATTTAATATATTTGTGTTTAAAAATTATATTTGACCTTTAATTTTAATTTTTATTTTATTAAAATTAATAATTAACATATATACTTAATTGCGAATTATATGGATGAAAAAAATCCCCATTATGTGTGTAAGAGATTTCGGAACTCTTTGCTATAAAATAATTAAAATTAAAAGTCAAATATAATTTTTGAACACTTTTATATTATTAAGAATATATAATTCGTTCCCGAAATATATTAATTCATTATAAAACGTATACGTGATATTATTTTTCTCATATAAAAATGACTAGAATAAATTAAATTAATTATTAAAAAACTAAAAAGTAATTAAACGACTTAGACTTAGATGATAATAATAATGAAACATTTTATTAAAAAAAGATTCAATAACTAGTAGGTCAGGTTATAATTTTTTATTTATTTATTTATAACATTATGAGCTATTAAGCTCATCATCTCGTTCGCTCTCTGTCTTGCTTTCATTCGGCAAGTCACAAACGATATATGATACTCGTATGTTCCTACTTCAACTCTCGAGAATCTGAAACAAACGAAACTCGTGTCCAATATACAGGGTGTCCGGTAACTAACAGACCAATGATTACAAATGGATTCTTTGGTCAATTTGGGAACGATTTTTCCTCAGCGAAAATGTCGAAAAAGGTCATCATTTTTTACAACTTTCCAATCTTTGTCATTATGTATCTTTATAACTAAGCCTTAAATTAAAATTTTATTATAGTAAACTCTACCTGAAATTAACTGAAGAATGTAATTATGTTAGACTTTTAACTCCAAAACGTTTAGTTTTCAAAAAACCTATTTTTTTCAATCGCTTATAACTCGAAAATTATTGACTTCTCAACATTTTTGCTAAGGAAAAATCGTCTCCAAATTGGCCAGAGAATCCGCCCTTAATCATTGGTCCGTTAGTTACCGGACACCTTGTATATATTATATAAAAGTGTATAGCACGTCAGAAGCTTGTGAGCTTACAGCGATAAGTAAAAACAATTGCGTATTTATTTCATTGCGTTTATCTGTTTAAACGCGCGCTTTAATTTTTCCAACGTTTTTGCCTGTTTATATTTTAAAGGTCCTCTCTTCTAAAAATCTTGTTTTAAAGATCCTCTCCGCGAGCAAAATTCGAAAACATAAATTATTTAATATTTTTACTTTATTATTTGTAAATCCTCGGTAATTTCAAAATTTTTCTATTTGAAAATTATTAATTTTCTATTGCCAATTAATTTTATCACAGACTTTACTCTTACTCCCATTGCACTTTCGTTTGCGGTTTTCAGTATACGATTTTTTATCGTAGTTACTGAAAATTATTATTGTGAATTATACTTGTGCAGTGATTTGAAGAATTTACAATTTCGTTGAAATTGTTGATTTTTCAAAAAAATTACGAGATTCGCGGAAATTGCGTGCTTTCTTGGCATTTTCCGTTCGCGGCAGGCGGTTTATTTTTGATTGTTGCAAGTGTTTTTGTTTTTTTTTTTTAAAATAGATAATAATAATGTGAAATAAATCACGATATTTGACAGATGTGCATATATATAGAAATTGTAATAATAATAATATTATATCATAAAATTGTAAATTGTTTCAATTTTTTATAGACTGCGATAAAAGATTTTACATTTGGATAAGAAACTGCGGTAAGTAAAAATATAAAATTCTTGAAAACGTAAAAATATTTGATAACGTAAAAAGGTGAACTTTGAAAAATAAGGAACTTAAAAATTGCACTAATAAATGGGCTATATATATGTGAGCCGTGCGCGGATGTAAGGTGTGTTATATCGAAATTTAATTAATAGAATTGAGAATTAATCCCAATTTTAAGTCTTACAAATGTCCAAGCTAATTTTTTGTACCTCGTGTACATTTTTGAAAGTTATATCGAAAAATTAAATTTCAATATGCGTCTTACATCTCACATTTCGCATACGGCTCACATATAGCCTATTTATCTCTTATACTTTATTTCAACCCTTATAGAAATTTATTACTAGTAACGCCAATTTATCACTTATTTCGAGTAATTAATCACTTTTATTTCGAATACTTAAATTACTGTATATTATAGTATTTTAAATACTCAAAATAAGTGATTAATTGGCGTAGTGATAAATTTCTACAAGAGAATAAGGAGCCTTTAAATTCTTAATGTAAAAAATTTCAAGTAATTTTCTTTAATAAAATTTAATTAAAAAATTTAATTAAAAAATTTTTGAACACTGTGTTATATCACATTTAAAATCGTGATTATTTCAATAAAAAAACATTTTATGTGTAAAAAATATATTTTTTATATTTAATAAATTTTATATATATATGCATATATGTAAAATATTCTCTCTCTCTCTCTCTCTCTCTCTCACACACACACACACACACACACACACACAACGGGGGCCAAATCTCTCAAATTGGTCTCATGATCAATTAGCCTGGATTCGCACCAGGGGCAAAGTCTGTTGGTAATGTCAAACGAATTTAGCCTGGACTTGCACCAGGGGCAAAGTCTTTTGGTCGAGTCTACGAAATTTAGCACGGACTCGAACCAGGGGCAAAGTCTTTTGGTTCAAGTCTACGAATTTAGCACGGACTCGAACCAGGGGCAAAGTGTGTCGGTAAGGGGCAAAGTCTATCGCACGAAGATGGCGGTCTCTTCTTTAGGCAGGCCTTTGGCGATCTGTCTATTAATCTGTGATCATGAGACCAATTTGAGAGATTTGGCCCCCGTTGTGTGTGTGGTGTGTGTGTGTGTGTGTGTGTGAGAGAGAGAGAGAGAGAGAGAGAGAGAGAGAGAGAGAGAGAGAGAGAGAGAGAGAATATTTTACATATATGCATATATATATATAAAATTTATTAAATATAAAAAATATATTTTTTACACATAAAATGTTTTTTTATTGAAATAATCACGATTTTAAATGTGATATAACACAGTGTTCAAAAATTTTTAA